ACACCAGGTGTGTGTGTGTGTGTGTGTGTTTTGATTGTTATCATCTGTTTAGCTCTTCACTTTCTAAATATTTCTGGGTTTTTTAAGCTTTTTTTTTTCTTGGAATGCGATTAGGGATAATTTCGATTTGCTGTTAATTGTTGCTTTGAGAAAGCGCTAAGCGCATCTCCAATGCTAGAGAGTTTGAACGACTATTATTTTTAACATATCTCAATATCAATTTGATAAGAAGTTATTTGTATAGGTGGACCAATTAAAACATGGTCTTAGACTGAACAAAAAAAAAACATGGTCTTAGATAAAAAATTAAATAATTCATTGGTACAAGAAAAATAAAAAATTAAAACAAACATAAAGTAAATTGATGAGTCATCATGTTTAATATAGTCTTAAATATTAGAAAGTGTGTTCAACATTGTCAACATTAAATGACATCCACCTCGTCATCAAAGAGTTCATGACAAGATGCATTGGAGAAAAAAATAGTAATACACAAGAAGTTATGATATGGATGACTTTTTATAATGTCAAAAGTCACATTGGAGATGCTCTTACATGTTTATGGGAATGCAGATTTTACAGAAAGTTGTGCTTAGGGAGAGTAAAAAAAAAAGCCAAAACTAAGGGCAGTGATTGAAAATATTATCCCCATATCTTGGAGTATAGTGAACATAGAAAGATTGTGATGCATGGATTCTAACACTCTTGATGGTTTTCCTCATTTTGTTCTTCATTAAGGCAAGAACTTGGGCTTTCTTGTACGCATTCGAAATAATATTCATGATCATAATCGTATAGCTTCGTGCTTGGTGCAAGTTTAGTGTGACTAGATGCATTGCGATATTATGCAATTTATTTGGTTTTCTTAAATAGATAATTACCGATGAATGTTGTTTTGCTGCAGTTATCACCCTATCCCCGTTGTCTTTGCTCAAGCCAAAGGATCATCTATATGGGATCCAGAAGGCAATAGATATGTGGACTTCCTTTCAGCTTATTCTGCTGCTAATCAGGCAAAAAACATGGAACACATTTTCTTTTCTTTTCTTTTATTTTTTCGTTTCGGGTATATCCACTGTTTTACCTTGAAAAAATTCAACCTTTAGTAATGCCATGTTTTTTCTTATTGAATGTTATATTTATACCTGAAATTTCTTTATTCTGTACTGGTTAGTTTTCCCTTTGGTCTGAGTGAATTCTTAAGGTCGATGATATTCAGCAATTTGCCATATAAGTGTACTATATAGTGTTGGTTTAAAAAAACTTCTGAGCCAAAGATAATTACTGCAGGGACATTGTCATCCAAAAATCACAAAAGCATTGGTTGACCAAGCTGAAAAGCTTACTCTCAGTTCGAGGGCTTTCTACAATGATAAATTTCCAGTATTTGCAGAACGCCTGACGAGCATTTTTGGTTACGACATGGTTTTGCCGATGAATACAGGTGCAGAAGGTGTAGAGACAGCTTTGAAGCTAGCGAGAAAATGGGGATATCTTAAGAAAAAAATTCCAAGAGATGAGGTACTTTTAGAAAGTGTAAAACTGAATACGATTGTTTTTTTTATGTGACGTATTAGAATTTTTTTTAAAGCTTATGGTTATATTCGGTGGTTCTGATAGATGATAAAGCTGAGAGCTTTTTTGTCTTTAGTTTTCAGTTACAGTTTATTAAGCTTATAATTTTGAGTGGATTTTTTTCTTTTTTCCTTTAAATCTTTTGATCCAATTTGCAGGCCATGATTGTTTCTTGCTGTGGCTGCTTTCACGGCCGAACATTAGCTGCTATTTCTATGAGCTGTGACAATGAGGCAACACGTGGCTTTTGGCCTTTATTGCAAGGCCACGTCAAAGTTGATTTTGGTGATAGTGCAGCACTTGAGAAAGTATTTAAAGGTTTGATTTTTAGTAAAAGAAACTTATAATTGAGTTATTAGAGATATCAGTGGTATTGGGGACGAAATATGGTTTTTCTAGTTTGTCTATATAACTAATCCTTGTTTATTTTATGGTGATCAGAGAAAGGGGACCGAATTGCAGGTTTTCTGTTTGAGCCTATTCAAGGAGAAGCTGGGGTATGAGTGCTTTTCAGAATTGAGTTAATTGTATAGATTTAGATTAACTTTTGCATACCTTCTAGAAAGTTCTCGATGAGCGAAATGCTTTTAAGTCATTTGAGATTTTTTTGACGATGCTTCTGTTACATTTTCCTAAGGTAATTATTCCACCTGATGGTTATTTGCAAGCTGTAAGAGAACTTTGCTCGAAATATAATGTTCTAATGATTGCTGATGAAATACAAAGTGGGTTAGCACGTTCCGGAAGAATCTTGGCTTGTGACTGGGAAAAAGTTCGACCTGATGTTGTAGTAAGCACATGTCATTCATCTGATTTTTCGATTTTTTTTTCTTTTTTTAACATTTTTCGCTACAATCCCCTGACTAATTTTTTAAAAAATTATTATTTGATTCCTTAATTTTGTGCAGATACTAGGAAAAGCACTTGGTGGTGGAGTATTGCCTGTTAGTGCAGTTCTTTCAGACAAAGATGTTATGCTCTGTATACAGCCCGGAGAACATGGAAGGTATTATTATTATTATTATTTTTTTTTTGGAGGCCTATCTCAAGAACATAATTTTCCTCATTTTTACGTGTAAAAATAATTGGTTAATATTATTTAATTATATTGATAATATTGATGATAGTGATGATGAGTTAAACTTGAGTTAGATTTTTTTAGTATGGATTGAGTTTATTTATATTAAAAACACCCTAACTCGGGTAATTGGTATTGGACTTTTTTGCAGCACATTTGGAGGGAACCCTTTGGCCAGTGCAGTTGCCATTGCATCACTAGACGTGATCATAAACGAGAAACTTGCCGAAAGGTACAACATACCTTAGAAAACAACAATAGTAATTTTTTCCAAGAATTTTATATAGAATAATTTCAATGATTTCTCCATAGATCCGACCAACTCGGAGAAGAACTCAGGCGGCAACTCATGAAGATACAAAAGCAATTTCCCGAGCTTGTAAAGGAGGTGAGAGGTAAAGGATTGTTCAATGCTGTGGAGCTCAATGGGAAAGCCTTGGCACCCGTGACTGCATATGATATATGCCTCAAGCTCAAAGAGAGAGGGATTCTTGCTAAACCGACCCACAATTCTATTATTCGTTTAACCCCTCCTCTAACAATAAGGTATTATTAGTCGTACTTCATTAGTCTCCTGTAATTACCATTCGATCATATGTATTTTTGTTAGGCTAAATTGCATTTTTAGTCCTACTAGTTTAATGTCATAGCATTTTTTGTCCCAAAATTCTAACATTTCGCCTTTTGGTCATGTGATCTAATATTTTGGTGCAATTTCAGTTATTTGAGGACTGAAAATGCAGCAAATTCCCAAATTTGTATCGTTGGGATGGATTTTAGCTAGCAATTTAAGTCCTGTAATTTAAAATTTTGCTGCAATTTCAGTTTTCTAAGTACTGAAAATTGTAGCAAAATATTAACTCACATGACCAAAAGGCAAAAAATTGAAACCTTGGGACTACAATTGCTATGACGTTAAACCAACACGACTAAAAATACATTTTTTACTTTTTTTTTTAATTATTTAGCTAATTACAAAAAGGTGTCCTTGAGATTTGACCTCATAAAAAAAAGGCTTCTTTTTCTTTTTAGAATTATGAAAAAATACTCTTGTGATGTACACCAAATGTGTGCTAACCTCTCATGGAACTCACTTGGATTTAAATGTGAATATACTTTCTAAAACATTCTTGAAATAGTAGTTGACTTCCAACTTTTTATTCATGTATTTATTTATTTACTAGTCTGGATGAGCTTCAAGAAGGCTCAAAAGCACTACACGATGTATTGGAACATGATCTCTCGAAGATGAAGAAAGAGAAGCCAAATGCCCCTTCTCACGATACGGATTCCAATGCATGCGACCGATGTGGGCGTAACTTGTACGACTCTTCTTAATTATATTAAAATAAATGAATTAGATTTTATAATAAACAACTTTCATTTGACTTTCTTCTATATAAGGGGTGACCAGTTTTTTTTGTTAAGTTGATTTACTTGAAGCTCAAAGGCCCCAAACTGCATTTGCTCATATATATATTTCGGTTTTGAGATGTGATCATGATTCTGTAGGCTATATTTCGGTTTATATACTTTATAAATTGCACCCTATATGAGGTATGCTTGCAGTGATATATTTTTTTATTAAGAAGAAAAACGAATATTCGTCATCTCTATATCTATTTAGACGAATCGAAGCATAAGTCACTAAGGCTTTATGAAAACGAAAACGAAAGAGCCAATTTGGATTGGCTTAAAACTGTAATAAATAGTTGAAGAAAGTTTCAAGAGAATGAGATATGTGACCTAACTTAGGTACAACTTAAGGAAATTAGCTGGATTTCATAATTGTCTTTGTTTACTGAGTAATGCTATTTAACCTACTTGGATGACAACTTGGGTTACAAACCTAAGTGTAAATATATTATTAAAAAGTTAAAAAATATTGTATTTACACTTGAGTTGTAACTCAAGTTGTCATTCAACTTGGGTTACAACCTAAATGTAATAATTGCCAAAAAAAAGTAGTACCATTTATGATTAAAATACAAAAAGACTCTCCAAGATACTATCACAAATAGCCCTTTGGGGTTAGTTTTTTGGTTTACCATTTACTATACATTAGTCGATTATCCATTTTCAATAAATGTTCATACTTTGAAACTGAAGAGCCTTACGTTAAATGACAACATAAGTAGAAACATGCATTTTATAGTATAAACATAATTTATTTCTTTTTTGTTCAAAAAGCATGACTAGTCGACCGTCTAACGGTTAGACCACCTCATACGAAAATTTGTTTTGTTTTTGTCCGAACTAATTGGTAATTGTAGCCTGTTTAGCTAAGGTTAAGGTTTGTGCAATTATATTAATTATGAGAAACTGACTTTATTAAGCTTGATTTGGGTAAGATTTGGTAAAATTCCATTTGCATTGAATGGGAATTTTCTGCTCTAATATGAACCCCAGCTCCAACTTGACTATATTCTCTGTTTCCTTTTTAATGTGCTTGAGTTTAAGTTATGGAGAGTATTATTATTATTATCCAACTTTTGGACCTATCTATCTTGAGTCCTTGACATGTTTGTATCTTATTGATCATTTTTGGACCAATATTATTTTAATTATAATTTTATTTCTTTTGTTTGAATAAATGATTAAAAAAATTATACACGTCTTAAGTAAATAAACTAATAAATGGGATGTGTTATATTAAAAGATTATTTGCTGGATGTTTCAAATTTCAATGCTCTCCCAAGAATAATTTACTTGTGGTTCTTATTTTCATTAAGAAAAGTGGCCTTTACTTATCTTCTGATATATTAGTATCACCTTATATGAAAAGATACTTCATCTAAAATTTAAAATAAAAATAAAAAATAAAAGAATTTTAGATAGGGATTGCATAAAAACAATTTGAGATGAATGTGGGAAGGGAAGAGTGCCTTCTTTCGATTGCTCATCTTTATGATATGAGTTCTTAAATTTTATTACAATATTTATAAGAATGATCAATAAATATTATAATATGTGTAATGGAGTGACAATATTAATATTTTTATGGACCAAAAATGTTATTATTCCCCGGCCTAAAAGAAGAGACATAGTATAATACAGTTGAAAATGAGGAAATTATTTGGAAATAGACATTTTTGTATATTTTTGGAAATAGTATAATACTTTACATTTATCGTTTTCTTTTTCTCCTGGATGAAAATAAAAGGACACAATGTGGGGTTGATTATTCAATTAAAAAATAAATCTAACTATGCATTTACCACAAAATAATGATGAAATTAGAATTGTAATTTAATGATGAAATTAGAATTGTAATTTGAATTGGAGAATAACTGTATAACAAATAAATTAGTAATTAAATAACAGTTTAAGGATAGATTTGATGTTTTTCATGCAATGTTTGATTCTACTTTCAGTACGGATTGCACGGCATATGATACCCACCATTCGTGCTTGGAAAATTGTGAAATGTTTGGATTTTTCTTAGAATTTTAAGGAACCAAAAATAAAAAAATAGTTATATGGGCACAAATAAATAAACATGAACATGAAGATATGGAGTAATGTATGAATCTTTATTAAATTAAGATTAAATAAAATTATCTCAGATCTAAGGCTTACTCAAAATCACATGACATGTTTAACACCTGCAAACCCTACTACATTGCCATTGTTGCACACTTTTATTTTATTACTTTTCGTTCTCCAAGAAACCATGTGATATGATGTAATTTATGATAAATGTACTTTGAGCTTTTATTTAATTTCAACAAATCCACTCAACAAGACCTAAGGTTAAAGCGTGTTTAATATATATAGTTGTAATTCCAAATTAAAATGTCATGCTCTTAAAAAATACATATTTTTGTAACAAAATACATATTTATATTGGGAAATGTCATGCTTTTTTTTATAATTTTTTTTTAAAGTCTAGCATTTATTTATAAAAATATACGCACGTCTATTAAAAAAGTATAATTGACTAACAGGGCCTTGCTGTTATTTTTGTAAGGGTGAATTTTTTTATTTGTTTATTTTTAAATGATACTTTATGCAGCTAATGCAAATGAATGATGATATCTGCATAATTCACTACTAGTATGTATCCCGTGCGATACACGGGACAAAGATATTAAATGTTTTCTTTTCACAGCCTTGTCCGTTTAATTTTAAAAAATAATAGGGTTATTATAGGGGTTATTATAAGTTTTTTTTTAACATCTTTTAACCAGCGTTGTTTTTTTAGCCAGAACATTAAATATGAGCATGTTAGGGCTAGCTTGTAAAATAATTAATATATTATCTCACTAAAACAATTATACTAATAAAAAATTAATTTTAGCATATAAATTTATCTCTTGATATAAGAGAAAGTAACAGTTTTACTTATTGTTGTTCACCATATAATATTTAATTATTATTTTATTATATAATTAAAAAAGAATACTGTTAAATAGTGTAGTAGAATTGTTATAAAATTATATGATTTTTTTTTTAAATATAGATTTAATATCTTTTTATAATTTGATAATATAAACAAATCTATACTTACCTTTGACAATTAAAACAAATAAATACTTTAGTAAGTATTTAATGTATATACTAAATAGGAATATATTTGGTATAATCAAATACCAAATATAATCAAATAAGTCAAAGTATACATTTTTATTTGGTATTTGATTTTTTTATTATTAATTTTTTTTATTATACTTACCTTTTTAAAATAAAACAAATAAATAAATCAATTAAATAAAATATTATAATACCGAAATAGTAATGCATTTAATGCAGTTGACTTTTCTGGATACTAAATGTAGTAAATAAGATCCCCTTTTATATAAGTATAGATATATACTTAGATAAACAAAAAATCTTACATGAGTGAATACGTATAAGAAATAATTAAAAGTTAGATTTTGGTGGTGGTCTATCTTAGTAAATGGGCGAAATATTTGCAGTAAAGTCAAAAGTTGGCAACAAAAGTAGCTAGATTATGGGTAAATCAAAATTTTAAGTAACGATTTACTTAGTTAACACTAAAACACAAGAGTAAAATCTAAGAAATAGGTAAATCACAACTCACAAGTTATGGGATCTAAGGTAAGTATCAGTTAATGTCTCCTTGTCGTTGCTATCAAAAGTGTTCTCTTGTTTTTGTTCTTGTTGTGTCACATAGTTGTGAATACATTTAATAAAAATTATATGAAAAAACAAAATAATTACTTAAAGATAATTTTGAATTTATATATTTGTATAGGTTTGTGTTTACTTAAAATAGTACTGACTTTCCCCCCCCAAAAAAAATGTTATTAAAAAAAGATTTTCATTTAACATGTTTTTCCCTTTTTTTCACATTTCCTTTTGATATATCCTTTTTACCATATGTTGTGAGACTTTTATTTTATTTAGGTAATGTGATATTAATAATTGATCTAAAACTACTGCTTAAACTTTTCAGAAAAAAAAAATCATTAGTCATTGTATTTCCACCTATTCTATTTTTGTTTTTATTTTTATTTTTGTAATGTGATATCAGTAATTTGATATCAGTAATTACTTACAGGATTATTTCTAAAGTATTAATAACTTCACTAGGTGATATTTCATATATAAAGTGAACTTAAATTTCTTATTGAACTATGGTTTAAAAATAAGAAATTAGCTCCAAATTATTCATACATTAAAGTATAAATATATGTATAATAAAAATATATTTAGTATAAAATAATCTGAAATAGTAATTGGTATGTTAATCCTCACGAGTTTAAAAAAATAATGCTAAAAAAGTATAAAATGTAAGTAACCAATTATGTCAAAGATCAAGTATATACACAATATTATAACGATAAACCAACAGATCATTTATTGAACCGCCATGTAATTTATTAGATTATAATGAATTTAAAATATTTATGATATGTATTACTGTAAATTATTATAAACCAATAAGTCATTTGTTGATTCGTCATGTAAATTAGAAGTTTATATAAAATAATAATAATAATAATAATAATAATAATAATAATAATAATAATAATATTAATTATTATTATTATTATTATTGTTAAAAATTATGACGACAAACCAACGTCTAAACTATCTATGCAAATTGGGTAAGAAAGAAAAAGACAAATTACAAGAAAATATTAGGAAAAAAATAATAATAAACACGCACTAATCGTGCATTATTTCTCCTCCAACCCAAGATTCCCTCCACCATCTTTTTCTCCGTTCACTCATCACTTTCCTCAGCAAACATAAATACGGTAACTCGCGATAAATCCAGAACAGTCTCCTCTTCCATGGCATCATAAACAGTTCATTAACCTCAATCTCATTCTCTTCTTCATCTCATCCCAGAAACACACACTAGGAGTATTTCATCTCCAAATAGCATTTTTTGGGGTCTTTGCTGAAAACGAAAGGAAAAAAAAAAAAAAAATGTGTTCGATTCGTGCAGATTTGAGCGGAAGGATCTTCCCGGAACCGATCGACCACTTCGACCGGCTTCCGGACTCCGTCATCCTCCTGATCTTCAACAGGATCGGCGATGTCAAGTCCCTTGGCAAGTGCTGCGTCGTCTCGAAGCGGTTCCACTCTCTCGTTCCCCAGGTCGACGAAGTCGTGGTCCGAGTGGACTGCGTCATCTCCGACGAGTACGACGACGACGACTCATCCGCGACTTCCTCCTCGTCCGCCGCCGCCGCCGCCGGCAAGTCATGCCACCCGATCTCCTCCCTCTTCCGCATCCTCTTCTCCGGGATCTTCAAGCCCCTGCAGTCCCTTTCCCAGCTCATCGCCCCTTCTACTCGCCGCCTCACTCTTCCCGAGGATTCCGACTGCGAGACGGAGGAGCAGGCCGGCGTCGCTCACCATTCACCCACTCAGGTATTGAAAAATTTCAACGAGATTAAGCTTCTCAGAATTGAGCTCCCGAGTGGGGAATTAGGGATTGATGAGGGTGTGTTGCTAAAGTGGAAGGCGAATTTCGGCTCCACCCTTGATAGCTGTGTTATTCTTGGAGCCACCAGTGTTGTTCATAACACGAGTACAGAGCTCGAATGTAATGATGCTGTTAGCAATTTCGCTAATGGTGGCATGGAGAATGATAATAACGGGAGCTTACCCGAATCGTATTACACTAACGGTGGGTTGAAACTGAGAGTTGTATGGACTATTAGCTCCTTGATAGCTGCCTCAGCTAGGCATTATCTGCTGCAGCCTATAATATCTGAGCACAAGACATTGGAGAACTTGGTTTTGACTGATGGTGATGGGCAAGGGGTTTTGTCTATGAACAAAGAGCAGTTGGAGGAGTTTAGAGTGAAGCCCCTTTCGGCATCTACAGCTTCGAAGAGGACTTTGGTGCCAGCTTTGAATATGCGGCTTTGGTATGCGGCCCATCTCGAGTTGCCGAATGGTTTGTTCCTAAAAGGGGCAACTTTAGTTGCGATTAGGCCCAGTGAGCAACAGCCCAAGAAGGAGATGATGGGCTCTGAGGGGGATTGGGTCGTGTCGGCCTTTGACGAGCCATTTGTGACAGCTGCAAGGATGTTGGTGAAGAGGAGAACTTATTGCCTAGAAATGAATTCATTTTGATGAACTTGGAGGTATTCCCTTTTTCGCTGTAATGCTGTGTATACCTTTTTAAATTATATTTGAGACCTGTTCTTGTATATGATTATTACTTATGTGACTTTCTGAGTTGCGCGTAGTTTTGTATTGTCTATCGCTCTACTTTTTGTGGCTCTCGATTTGATGCATTCGTAAGTTTGTTCGGGATTGCTATTTATGTTGCTTTGCGGGTTGCGATTGTTTCCATGAAAACATGACTTTGTGTTTTTTTCTTGGTGAATTAATTTTCTCAATGTAGGAATTTCTTAGTTATGTATTGCGTTTTATCGTGCAGAAATATATGCAAAGATAGCTTTGATTCTGCAAGCTGTTGGCCTGAAATTGTATATTATCTAAATTGTGTTTTGAGTAACCTTCTTTGTAGCCATTGTTTGATGGATATACCGCATAAATTCATTTTAAATTCTTAATTGACCCTTGAAAATCTTGTTACACTTGTTTCTGATGTTGATATAAGCTTCCATGAATGATCCTCTCTCCCATTTGTCTTTTACAATTTATACGACAAGTTCGTATCTTGTACACTGTCAAATCTGCGCCGTTATCTTACATTTACATTTTCATAATAGGGATGGGCAATTTGTGTATATGTTAGAATATCACTTGTGAGTTGTCCCACATTGATTCTATAGGGAAAATGAGTCTAGTATATAAGTCTAGTGGGCTACTCCTCCCATCACTAATTGATTTTGGGATGGAACCTCACTATGGTGCTACTAGGCTCACCCTCTTATGGTACGCTTCATCTGGTGGGACCGCATCCTCTTCCCCCGATTTAATATGGTATCAGAGCGGGCCTGTCCTAGGACCTGCGATGACTCTCTCTACTCGGCTTGCTCTGGGCTTGGGCTTATTTCTCTACCCTGCCTGCTATGTGGGCTTGGGCTTACGAAGGACTCAC